TCTAGGGAGTGGGAGAAATTTTTTTGCTAGGTGTACATCTGACAAAGCATTAATGTAGAAGGAATTCAAAACTAAATATCAAAACACATAACAATGCATAAATAGGCTAATGAAAGGAACAGATAATACTTAAAAGATGAAGTACAAATAGCTAACAAGCATATGAAAAATAAAGTTCAACTTTCTTAGCCATCGGGGAAATGCAAATTAAAACTATATTGAGATTCTGCCTCATCCCAGTCACAATGACTGTTATTAAGAAAACAACAGAATCGTAGAAATTGCTCTGTGGTTAACAGGATTTGCTGCTCTTCAGAGGATCCTTTGGTTCCCAGCACCCAAGACGGGTGACTTTCAACTGCCTGAAACTCCAGCTCCAGGGGCACCTTGTGCCTTCTTTTGAAGGCAACATACACACACACACACACACACACACACACACACACATGACATACACACACAAAAATTAAATATTTTTTAAAAGAAAACAAATACAAATGCTTCTAAACTATTATGGTAAAGAGGAACCTTTATACACTGCTTGTGGGAATATATCTTATCATAGCAGTATAGAAATTTCTCAAAACTAAAAATAGAAATAACATTACCCAGCTAGCACTCCTGACTATATATTCCAAAGATCTAAGTCAACACATCACATCACAGAGATACTTACACAGTCATGGTTATTGCAACACTATATGCAGTAGCCAAATTGTGGAACTAGTGTAGAGAATAAGAGTCTGTAGAGTGTGGGTCCTTGGACAGGACTCCTTTATTAAACTTCACCCACTCAGGGCTCAGGGACCATTGCAGAAGAGGGGGTGGAAAGATTGTAAGAGCCAGGGAGGAGGTGCACGACCATATGGAAAGAGTCCTACAAGCTCCTGGGACCCTGCTCATAGGAATCTACAGCAATGGTGTCAGCATACACAAGTCCCTTGCAAACTAAAGCAGACAAAAATCCAGCACAGAACTGGGGAAACGGACAGCAGACCCCAATCTTAGCTGAAGAAATATTGGAAACTGATTACTGCTGGTTGAGGAAGAGCTGATCTTCCTAAAGTGAGGAGCTCTAGATAGGCTGACTAGACCTCAGTAGACGAAGTTGCCCTGAGGAACGTCTGGGGACACTAACTTGACACAATAGGCCTTAGCACAAATGACAGAATGTATGAATTCCAGTGGGGGAGGGGGGCTGTGGGAGGGGAGGCCAGTGGGGAAGGGGGTATAAAGATGATTGAGTGGTTTAGATGTTCTGTATGAAATACACAAAAATTCAATTTAAAAATTTTTTTAGAAAAGAACTTTTCTCCTCTCCCAATTTCCTAATTCCTTGGCTGTCCAAAAATTTCACACCAGTGCTCCCTACAAAAAGCCTTTGGGGACTTCTGAATTCATTAACTTTCTACCTCTTACCTGCCTTCTAACCGCTGTGCAGTGAGACCTTTACTATTTTCTCCACTTTCATGAATTCTTTGGAGTTATTCCCTTCCTTTATATCATGGGACGATATTGTGTGCTGATTCTGGAAGCTTTATGAAGCTCTATTAAGCTGGTAAACAAAAAGCTCTGTACCTGTAGCTTCAACTTGGCAATGTTTTCATTATTTTATGGCTATGATGATGTATATGTCTATCTTCATGGCACGCATGTGGTACACATTCACAGTGTGAGAGTCCCCAACACTTCATTCCTAAACTAATGTGTATCTTTGGGAATAAAGACTCAGAGATACACTAAGAAACTGTCACATCATAAAATTCAGTGTCTTGTTTTTAGTACTGAAAAGAGAACAGGGTGAGGACACAATCATGACTCCTAAGTTATGTTTTCATTTTGTAAAAGAAATTATGTCCTTTTTATTTTGTTTTCATTTTGTTTTTTAGTTGTATGATGAGAACTTTTAACAGAAGAGGTAGCTAAACACTAAACAATGAACAAACTTACAAGCCACATATTAACAGTATGGATGTCAAACCCCACACCTGTGTGTTTGAGGATTCATCCTCTCAGCTTTGCATTCTTAGAAGGCAGCGAAACCTTTAACAGGTGAGGCCTGGTGAGAGGCTTTAGGTCATCGGGAGTGAGCTGTTGAAGAGGACGCCCACATAACTATCCCCCTCACTCTTCTTAGCACCTAGCATTGGGTGAACGGGTTCTTCTGTCATGGTTATGTTCGATGCTGCCACATGCACAAAACAATTGTCTGATAGCCTGAAAAGTATGCACCCATATAAACACTTCCTCTTCCCATTTATTACAGGAACAGAAAGCTGACTGATACAGCATGCCGGAGGTAGAGTTTGAGTCTAACTGAATGGAAATACAGTACATGGAGAATCTTCATGCTCTCGTTGCAGTTCAGTTTGCTATAAATAGCATTGACAGCATTTTAAAGTTATTTTCTGGTAACATTTTTAATTTACTTATTCTTCACCTCATTCCAAAGCCAAATTTTGAGATAGGTAGAGCCATGTATCCCAACAAGTTGAAGGACAAACAGCTGAGAAAACTAGGGAGGAGGGTGAGAATAAAAGAGCTAGAAAACAAGGGACTAGTAAAGCAAGTTCAAAATACGCTGTTTTCTTTAAAAGTTCTATTCGTTTTATTTATGTAAATGAGTATCTTCCCTGCGTGTACCAGGTGCAAAACACACATGCCTGCTGTTTTGTGCATTCCAGAAGAGGGTGTTGGATCTCCTGGAACTGGAGTTACAGATAGTTGTGAGCCTCCATGTGGGTGCTGGAAGCCGAACCCGGGGCCTCTGCAAAGTCAGTCAGTGCTCTTAACCACCGAGCTATCTGCTCCAGCCCCCAAGTATGCTTACTTTTAAGTAATACTTTAAAGTTATAAGAAGAAATATTATCTGAACCTCCCTGAGAGTTTTTGAAACAGTCCTTTTTCTCAGTCCCTTAGGATACATTTCTTGGGTGACAAACAGGCCTTACAGTAACCCCTTCCCACTACTTGTGTCATTCAGGATTGGATTCACTGATGGGAGAATCCATGGATTGTTTCTCTTGCAGCAATTTTTCAGATAATTT